CGACCGAGCAGGTCTCTTCGCCCGACCAGGTCTCTTTTACCTACCAAGCAGATTCACCACTCGTGGAAAGGATAGTCCATCTAAAGGTCAAAATTCTCTGCTATCAAACAATACAACGACTCAACAGTTCCTACTGATTACCGTAATGACATCTACGGAGTGACAAAGGATATTATGGTCTCAAGGAAAAGGAGAAAGATCTCATCCGCAAGAGTCACCTCAAGAAATTTGTTGAAACCTCCAAGGTAACTCCTAGCAACAACCACAAACGACAAAGTCTCCTACTAGGGAGATAAGGATAATGTTAAGAGGGAAGGATGAGAATCTAATAAAAAACGACGAGTATCACAGAATGCTACTACACTACCTTGAAAAGCAACTGATTAACATATAAAGTTTCTAGTTCAGACAATGGTAAGTTTGGTGTGTAATTTTAATTGTTTATAATTACGAAGTTTAAGTTTAATTTTCTGGTAACCGCATATTTAATAAATCGCATAATTTAGGACTGATTTTTTGGTAACTGCATGTTGATATTATGTTTTCAAAAATACTTACTCGTTTGTGAATTAAAAAGACTCCTAGCATCTGAAATATAATTAAATCTTTACTACTTGAGCATTTATCTTTTATTCTAAATGAAAATCCCTCAAGTGGGGGCATGGGTAAGTAAATCAACAACTGGTCAAGGAACTCGAACAAGCACAAACCTAGAAGCAGACCGATAAACTAGAAGCCAATAAGTGAAACTAGGGAAGAGAATCCCAGGGTACTGAAAAACACATACGTACAAGCCCAATAAGGTTAAAACAAAAGGCAGGCAAGCCTAACCAATCAAGAAACCCAGGGATAGAAAGCCATTTAGTAAAAACCAAAATAGGTTAAAAACCCAGGGTGTTGATTAACTTAGGGTAAAAAACCGGCAAAAACCAAAATGTTAGAAACCCAAGGTCGACTAGATTCAGGGTATAAAACCATTGGCGAAAGTCAAATAGGTTAGAAACTTAAGAGTGAATTTTTTGGTATAAAATGATGGGCAGAAGCCAAATAGGTTAGAAACCTAAAGAATTACCATTGGCCCTACTGAGAAGTTAAATCCTAAAGCCAAAATGTAACGGTAAAAACTAACCGTATAGCAGTGCTTAAGAGACTTGATTGCAGCCAACTACAACAAAAGAAAATTGGGGCTATGACAGCCAGCCCATGAAATGACAACTAACAACAACAAAAGGTATAAAACCATTGGTAAAAGCCAAATAGGTTAGAAACCCAAGAGTAAATCCTAGAGTATAGAACCCTGGGCAAAATCCAAACATGTTAGAAATCCAAGGGGGTGCAGCTAGCCCAACTAAAAGTTAGATCCTAATGCAAAAACGTAAACAGTTAGAATTAATGTACGGTAGAGCCCAAGAGACTTGACTACAGCCAACTACGACAAAAGGATATGGGGGCTATGACAATTAGCCCATAAAAACGACAACTGACAACAACAAATACTCTCAACACTAAAGGACTTGATGGTAGCCAACTACAACAAAAGAGAATGGGGGCTATGACAGCCAGCCCATAGAGACAACAACTAACAACGATAAATACTCTCAATATAGAAGCCCTAACATGCTTTCTGCCTTCTATTTTGAGAGTAGGGGCTATTGTTATAGGAAGAAAATAGAGATCGAACAAAACAATCGAAAAAAGGAAATGGAGCCGAAGAAGAAGCGACCTAGAAAGAGGTAAGTGGGTCGAGGCCCAGCAAACTGGGCCAGCCATAGCCGACCAAGGGTCAGCGCCGAGGAGTGCTCGGCGTTGAGGAGTTCTCGGCCATTGACCTATTCGTCCCGACCCCCGCGCAGCCCCATCCAAGTCGACTTGGTCCCAGTCCTGAATGCAACATGAGGCCCACTCCATCAAGTTCTCTTGAGTGCATTAGGATTCAACTTATGTAAATCCTAAAGGGAATAGGATTCAATTGATGTAAACCCCGAAGGGATTAAGATTCGACCTCTATAAATACCAGAGTAAGCTAAACCCTAAAGGTATGCTCACAACACCCTACACTTTATACTCAACTATTCCGATTCTGACTTAAGCATCGAAGCCTGTGTGGTAAGAGCCATATCGGTCTTTAGTACTCTTATGTTTTGCAGGTCGATCCCTTTTATTCTAGAAGATTGGTGCGAATTTGGCGGAATCCCAAGAGGCTAAATTTCTACATCAATAGAAGTGAAAAATAATATTATATGCAAAAAAAATGGGAGCGTAGAAGAGTAGAGAAATTTAAAAATAGAAGAGAAATAAATGGAAGAGAGGAGATAAGGGAAGAGAGAAGAGGCATCATTGTAATTTCATAGTTTTTTTTTTTAATTGAATAAAATAATGATTTAGGTTGGAAAAAGAAATTTGAAAAGTTAGCTTATTTGAGCAAAGTGAAAACTTTTTTAGGTTATTCGTGTCAATTTCCCTAGCGGATAATGCTGCCTCATCGTCAACATAAGAACTGTTGTAGTAGTCAAACGATCAATAATTGAGCCACCTTAATTGGAGATGAGACATTTTCCTACTCGTTTGAAATATACTTTCTTGAGAATAAATGATATTTTATCTATTATAGTCTCATCTGAATTAATTGCCAATTGTGAGTCTCTTTTGTTGATTTTGTTAAGACAAAGAAGACAATTGGATGGACTCTTGTGGATATAGAGAGAATCAACCCGGCCTATTGCATGCATAAGATCAAATAATTGTCAAAAGCAGGTAGTCAAACTCACACTTAGCCGACCTTATCGAAGTGTTTGACGTTTTTTAAAAGTATCGAATGAAGTTCAACCTAAGCAAATGTGCATTCAAGGTGTCACAAGGAAAGTTCCTAAGTTTCATGGGAGCTCTTAAGAAACTCAAGCAACTTCCATGCCTAAATGAAAGGACTGTAGCCCTCCATTGTTTTGTATATATAAGGATTGCCGTCCTCAATCAGGGGTGGATGTACGTAGGGCCCAAAGGGGGCTCGAGCCCCCCCGAACTTTGTAAAATAAGAATATGGACGTTCAAATTCAATATAAATTTCAAAACTTACCTTTGGCACGATGGAAATTTTAAGCACCAGCCCCCTCTTGTGTGTATGTTCCTGTGCCTGTGCGTTAGGCGCTTTTTATTGTTATTATTATTTTTTTTTTCACGATGTATTTCATCCAAGCTTAGGCACTTTCTGTTAAATTTTTTTTTTTAATTTATGTAATTTGCATTGCTGCATGCTTCGGTTTGAGCTTGCGTTAGGCGCTTTTTATTATTATCATTATTTTTTTCATGATGTATTTCGCCTTTTTTTCTTTTTTTCATAATTCATGATTTTTCCTTTCTTTTTCAATTAAGTATTTTTCTGGTGAGTTTTATAAAAGGAAATTATTTTTTGTCATTATAGATTAGGTCCATTTTAAAAAAATAAATTGTAAATTTTCTATACAAATATATCAATTTTTTTTATTTTACAATCAAATATGTAGATTTTTAGAAAATTTTGAAAAAGAAGAGAATATATAGGTTGATAAGACTTTTATGGTCTAATTGTTCCATGTAATTTCAAAACTCATTTTCGTTTTCAATTTATAGGTATTTTTTTAAAATTAAATTATTGTATCGATTTTTTTTCTTCTTTAAAATCATAATTTTCATAGTCAATTGTTCTTATTTTGTATAATTTTTAATTTCAATTTTACATAATCTAGAGAAGTAAAAAATTTGGACATTCATTGTCTAAGGTAAATTTTTATTAACTTTACATCTTACATACTATGAATTTTACTATTTGACGTTATTTTAAATGTAATAGTTAGTAAAAGTTTGAACTAAAATATAAAATTGTCATGTTTCAACTACTTTTAAAAGCTTAGACTATAGTATAAAATTGTCGTGTATACAATAGAATTATTATCATTATTCATATTTTATGTGTTTAACTTTTTATTTTATTTTTATTAATATTATCGTAGGTTTAATTTGAAATCTAAATAGTGATACTATATAAAAAAAATTAATGAAGTCATCATCGTGAAAAAATTACCTAAGTAAATTTAGAAAAATTATCTGCAAAATCTAGTATAAAAACTAGAATTACCGATTACAATTGTAACATTCAAGACCAAGTTTGTATAGCATATTTACAAAGGACTTATTTGCAAATTAGTATGAAGCCCCCTCTCAACAAAATTTCTGGATCCGCCACTGCCTTCAATCCTTTTATTCTAAGGATTGTCATCGACATATCTACACATATTTGTTTGCTAGGTTATATATATTGTATTTAAATAAAAACAAATTTTGACTGATTCAACTTTTAATGCAATTATTTTTTCTAATCTTTTATCAAATAATTTAGAGTAAACATAATAATTTATAAATTAAATCATAAAAAGTTTTAAATAACCATCTTATAAAAAAAAGTTAGATATTAAGTATCAATATGGATATATTCATATTTCTTAGATGAAAAATATCCAATTGGTATTATATCTTTCTGACATATTTGTAAATTTAAGCTCTCTAGCAACAGACCTACTCTCTAGGAATAACCTGGTTGACAAGGGCTTAGGCCACCAATGTGGCCTGAATTTGGGTCCTGAGCCCTTAATGACGCCTGGATTTGGTTTTGAGACAGCATGGGTGCCCTTGATTGGACGACTTTGCTTATATAGTTTATTGGGCGGGGATTTTCTCTACCCTACCCACGACCACTAGGTCGTTTGCTTCTTTTTTGGAGTTGAATAGACTTCTCGTTTCTTTTAAAATAAACGATTTTGAACTTAGATATAAATGTTTGAAAGGTAAGGTAAGATAAAGGAAATGTTACTTTGAACTTGCCTTTGCCAAATAAGACATCCTTGGGAGTTCCATGAAGTAACCATAAGAAACATGCTGGAAGGAAAATTTTCCCATATAATTGAGTCAGTCAGCAGTTGTATAACATCTGAGCAAGATAAAATTCATTATTGAATGTAACAAAGAAATCAATCTAAAAAAGGAAGCCTCATTTTATACTGTTTATCTGTCTGGAAAGTGATTCTTTAGATCAGAACTAAATACACAATTCAACCGATCAAGTTCAGTAAAACGGTGAAATTTAACATTCGAAATCCAGAGAAACTCAAAAGTAAACAGAAAAAGGCTGGTATGTTACATGTTCCAATCTACGGTCACTCCTAGTAATGAGTTCCATGGTTTCTTTTCACTTTGTTGTGGCCCTAGCACTCATGGAGGAATGGTAATTGGTACTTCTTTGCTTCCTATAAGAAGTATAAACATCATCGTATTGACTATCCTCATTCGGATTGGGCGTTGCCCCAAGTCCTAACCTTCCCGAACCTTTCCGGTCGACACTCCCGTCAGCGTAAGCACCAGTCTCCGGGTCAACCTGAAGGTTGGGAGGAGGAGGAATGCAAGCTCCACCCTTACGTACTTGCGGTTCTCTCTCGTACTCGTAATCATCGTCTTTGGTATCGGAACTCATGGGTCCTTCCGAAGGGTTAACCTCTCCAATCTCTTTAAAGAACTTAGACACTCTCTCGAGAACTTCTGAGGGAGATATATTGGATGGAGGAATTATAGTTGGAATATCCAAAGGGCTCATGGGAGAGTATGGGACCCCACTTCCAATCTGCATCTTCCTCACCATTCCAGGAATAAGACCAGGAGGGAACAAAGGATATGGTGGCAATTTTTCACCCACAGCAGCAGGCTGTGGTGGCATTAATTGGGCATTGGGCTGTGGGTTTGGTGGTTGAACAGAAGTTGGCAAAGGAATGGAGTTTACAAACGCAGCAGCAGGTATCGTATTAGGTAGAAATTGGTGTGGTGTAACGGATCTTGACAGCGCTTGGCCCAGAGCGATCGGCTTATCGGGGTGTTCTGGATCGGTAAAACTTGGAAGAGCACCTGGCCTGTCAGGTTGCCACTGGTGCACAGTATGGCTATTTGAATGTTGTGCCAATCCTGCATGGCACCACAAAAAGAAGTTTAACGGAGATCATTTCCCGTTTTACCGGCTGCAAAGAGAACAGACGTGAATGCATAAAAAGCTAGAAAACAAGAGAGGGGGCCCTACCAGCAGCTGAATCTACTGAAGAGGGCAAATCTTTTGGAAGCCCTGACAAAGTTTTAGCCGGTACCCCATTAATCATTTCACCCTCAAGTGCACCGATAGTACCTTGATCGTAGATCTCCTTGGACGCCCAGAACTGTACCAACTTCTGTAATTTCATCTGACTTTCCTCCTTCATTTGAGGGTTGTGATAGACCCTTGCAAGCATGGAACCTAAAACTGGTTTAAATGCTAGAGCTTCATTGTCAAGGTCAATTGTGTTGATTCTTCGCATCATGCTGCAAAAGTTGGAAGACAGATTTCATGGGGGGGAAGTTGTCATATAGCTCGCATAATTATATTGTAGTATTGCAGATTAGATAGTCGACACAATTCATATTTTATTGAATAGAACTTCTATCAGATCAAAAAATAAAAATAAACTGAATGTGGGGAAGAAACAAAGTAAATAACAACACACACTAGTCCCTGAAGACTATCAATGCACTCAATTACTGTTATAAAACGAAAAATAATGAGGATAAAGAGAGATGTACATGGTATTCAGCAACAATCATGAACTGCAACATACTAGTTGCATTAAACCAAGCAATCATAAATTTGAAAAACCAGTAATAGAAGCAAGCAGGTGTAGGATAGTGTACCTCTCAAAAAGAATGTCATTGACAAGGTATATTATATGAAGTTGCTTCTCAGAATCATCTATGTTAAATATCATGTCTCTAAGTGCCTCGGCCATAGCTGGAGCAAAAGGAGACCGCTGCATGAACCAAGTTTTAGCACCTTTAATTGATTCTTTAGCACCAGTGAGATTATTAAGCACATTGTTTAGCTCCAGAGCAACATCAGAAGGAAGAGGTCCAGAAAGGCCTTTAAAAGATTTTGAAGATTGATCATAATCCGACCGACCAGGCACCCCAAAGGCCTGTTGATGGTGCTGCTCGTAGAAAGAAGCAAAAGGAGTTTGGTGCATTTGAGGACCTCCAATTATTGATGCGGAAGAATTCAACGGAGGAGCATTAAGTGGAGATGGACTTGTCATAGGATTTGGATGGGGGTGCAACATGGACATAGATGAAGACGGAAAGGGGGAATTGAAGGGACCTCCGAGATGGGGACGAGTCATTAGCCAAAGCTTATAACGGTAGTAACCCTGCCCCTCCCCACCGAAGAGGAAGCCATATGCCGGATTATCAAGTTGCTTTTCACGTATCATGGATTCAAATTCAGGGCCATTCTTTATGATATACTCCACAAGTTTTTCGATACGTTTTTGGAGCTCGGGATCTGAAGGAGGTGGAACTGGTGGTGGAGCAGAATCATAGGGACTGTGGAAAGGTGAAGGACCCATGGGAGGAGGTAAATGAGGAGCAAAAGCTGGCGGTGGCTGCTGTTGCTGTTGAAGATGGAGAAGGTGAGGGTGGGGTGGATGATGTGGGTGGAGTTGTGGTTGCTGCTGCATAGGGTGGTGAAAAGGGAACTGTTGCATAGCAGGATGTGGCGGCAGGAACGGAACGGATGGAGGAAATTGTTGATGTTGGCCATGAAATCCAAACGGCTGCTGTTGTTGTAGGTTAGTTGCTTGTCTCTGCTGGTTGGCATAAGCCATAGCAGAAGCAGCTGCATAATCTTGAGACTGTCGATCCATTAGCTATCAAGAATTCTATATGAACTATCAGCTGGATAGTAATCTCGACAAAATCTCCAACCAAATCAATCTACAGGCACAAATTGACAAACAAACTCATAATTAATCATCCTCCAAAAAATCAAAAGCTGTAGTTATGTCCCAACCCCATTTCTCATCATCAAACAAATCCAAATTAAAAGTAAGTATCAATCAACCATTATTATCATCAAACAACTCCAAATCAAAAGTAAGTATCAATTAACCATTCTTATCATCAAACAAGTCCAAATTAAAAGTAAGTATCAATCAACCAACTACATTTCACTAAATCGTTATGGATATGTGAACATAGAAAATCCCTTTGGACGTATACTCTCTTTTATAGTTCCAATTGGCCCGGGAACGTTACACACAACACATAGTTGATCCTCTATGACAGAGAAAGCTTTGAGTTGTTAATTACTTTGGTTTGGGCGGTGCGGAATAGACGAAACAGTGCCATATTCGAAGGAAACCAGAAATTTGGAACTACATTTTTCAGTTTACTGAGGCCAATTCTAATGCTTCAACCCAGCAGAACCTACTGCTAGTCTCCCCAAAGCAGAACAATCCAGAAATTTGGAACCCCTCGGCTTTGAATAAACTCAAATTAAACACTGATTATCTTACCTCTTTGCACAGCTACCAGAAAGTCTGATACCGTGAATTGACTGTCAGCTGATAATGGTGGCGTATTTTTTGTGTTCTTAAATCTGGCAAGGAAGATGGGTCATGATTGGTGGAGAAATTATGGAAATTCGAAAGGGGCTAAGGGAGGTTGAGTTTACCTTGTGTGGAAGAGATGGTAACCGCGCGGCCCATGAAGCAGCAAGGTTGGCGGCGTGTGATGGCATGTCCGCCGCCGCTCGAAGAAGCGCCGGTAGCTATGGAGACGGTGTTGATTACAGAGCTAGGGCACCGCGAGCGATGGATTTCTTTGTCTGAAACACAGGTCTTGGGTTGTTTTCTAATTCTATTTTTTTTAGTGGAAAAAACTGGGGAAATTTACTCAAATAATCTTCCTAAAATTCCTAAATTATTAAATTATTTTCGAAGGAATGTTTATCAATTTATAAACTGAATAATTTCAAATATTTTGAAATAAAATGTTGTTTACCTAAATAATAATAGTAATAATAATAAAATTTTATTAATTTAAATGAAAGGTAGAAATAAGTAAATAAATCAATTCTTCAAATTAAAATTCAAATTGATTAAGAAATCATTTAGAGATTAAAGAATTTTTTAATTAAAAATTTGAAAATTAAAATTAAGGAAAACAGAATCTCAATCTCTCCTCAATCTCCGTATTCAAATTTGAAATTTAATCTAGATTTTTGTAAGATTTTTCTTTTTCCTTAATTATTATTTGAACTAATCACTTAAAATAGAAAATAAATATATGGATCTCTCTTCCTCTCGTTCCCTTCCTCTCTCTCGTTCCCTTCCTCTCGCTCCTCTCGCTCTCTTCCTCTCTCCTTCTCGTTCTCTTGGGAGGGAATAATTAATTAAAATAAATCTCTGGGAGGGAAAGTAAATTGATATACAGAGTGATATCAGCAAATATTAGAAAACATAGGTTTTGAAAAAAAGTGGGTAAAAAAAATATTGCATTGATAAAATGGCTATTCAGCCCAAAACCCCAAGAAGTGGGAGCGGAAAAAATTCGATCTCATAATTTCTCCGAAAATTGACCCAAATGACCCTCTTAGATTTCCACTTTGCTCAAATAACTCACCCCTCAAAAATTGTTTTTTATAATCTATTTGAATATTTTAATTAATTTTAAAATAATTAAAATTACATTTATGCCCCTCAAGTCAAAAAAACAACTGTCGCCCTCCTCTCCCCCTCTTTCTCTCCTTCTATTTTGCGTTTCAATTTCTTCTTCTTCCTTTTCGGTTTCTCTTCTTCGCATTTTGTTTTTGCTTTGGTTCCCTTTGATCTCTCACATCGGAAGCTTGGTTTTTCCCATCTTATCCGTGAAATTAGCTTCAAGGTAAAAATCTCTTAGTGTAGTTGGGCCTTATAAAAGAAATCTGATCGGCCTAACTATGGGCGCCGCGAAACTCTCCATATTAGCAATAGCCCGGGGCAACCTCATGACCTCAACAGCCAATTCATCTCGTCAAGAGGAGAACCGTGGTTGTTACAAGGAACATTGTTATCGAAGGAGCACTTCATTTTCCTCCCCATTGTCAGAAATGAAGGTTGAAGGGGGAGACACCCACTTTTATAACAAGGATACCACCTACCAAAGTAGGCCGGCCGGCAATGGGTCGAATTAAAGACATTAACTGCTACGTTTTAATGAAGACTTCAGAAAAAGAAACGTCACGCAGAAGGATTAACGCCCACTAGCCGTGCGTGCCCCTTCAGGAGGTTTCTGAACCATCGCACGTGAGAGGAGGTTCTAAACGACACACCCGTTGAAGGCGTGCGTGGCCCCGCATGTAAGACTTTCGGAACGTGCGTTTACCGTAACGACATCTAGTGCGGTGCCACGCAAAAAAAAATAAAAAAAAGAGAGAAGGAAAAGTACGGAGACTACACGTAAGGGGGATGCAAAGGAAGGAAGTTTGGATTTTATGTATCTAATCAACATTACATGTTACAGACACCACTCATGGCGGTACTTTAACACAGACGAAAGAGATAGCAAGTAGAAAGTTCTAGAGTCCTTGACTTACGGAAAGCTAAGACTCATCTCCAGCACAAAGACCTAAAGCTTCATCTGGCAAAGAGTGGATTGCATCTGCTTAAAGTGCCTCCTTATGGGACGGCGCGTTTGCTGGCCACCACACGCACGCGCTCAGAATCTGAGAGTCTATAGTCGCGAAAGTGAGACCAAATCAGAAGCGAGCGACAGCTGCGCTCTTTGAGAACACGTTGGCCAGGAAAAACCCCCATCAGAAGCGGGGGTGGCCTAAAGATCAAAGCCTAAAGGTATTAGAAGAGAGTAAAAGTCTTCTCTCTCCCTTCTTTTTTTACAGCTAGATCGAGGGGTCCCCCTAGGGGAAATTTCGTCACCTCACGCAAGGGTCGCCTCGAGATACGCATAAAGTAAATTCGAACAAAAATTTCAAGGGAAGGGAAATTTTCATTAATAGAAGGAAGAGGTTGTGGGCCCTTCGATTCATTACATATGGATGAAAGAAAAGAAACACCCTGGCCTACACAAAAAAGGGGGAAGGGGAGAAAAGCGGTAGAATCAGGGCATGGGTGCATGGCGCACCATCCTCCTCTCCAAACGTCTAAGAGGGACTAGTAGGCCGCTCCGTTTCCTCCCTTCCTCGGAGGACTTCTCGAACCATCTCCACATTGAAACGGTGGTCGTTCTCAGCATCGACGAACTCCTCCCACATCTTGCCAAGGTTCTGCTCCAGTTCACAGACCCGCGCAATGAGCTCATCCTTACTTAGTTGCATAAGGTCCGTAGGCCAAGAAGTGCGACCCCAGATTCCATAAAGTCTGCCACGATATTCGAGGGCTCGCCCTTCTCATCTTTGCCAAGACCGTCCTCTGCCCCCTTCTCGTGCACATCATCATCCACCTCTGTAGGATACTCGCTGTTGGAGACAAGGTAGTCCTCTTCCTCTGAAGAAGCCTCCTCTCCACTAGAAAGGAGGTAATCCTCATTGTCATCAAGAGGATGCCCCTATGAGAAAGCGGGGCCATTCTCCGAAGGAGTGTCCACTTCGATAGGGTTGCTATTAGAAGAACCGGGCATTCTGTCTAATTTGTAGATGGATTCATGGAGAATGAGAGGAGAAAGGGCGATGACGATAGGAGTGGGGGCGCATCTTCAGTTTAAAGGGGAACAGGGACGACCCCTATGTTGGATTAACATGGCAACCCTAGAGGGGGGGAGGGGTGTAAATGGGCTCAATTTAAACAAAAATAATACACTTTTGAGATATGCAATTTTAACAAAGTAAGATAAAATAAATTCTAAGGCAAACAAAAGAAATTTTAAGCGAACAATAAAATTCTAAGATTAATTGCAAAAATAAATAAGATAGAGGGTTAGAGAAATTTGACATCGGGAATTTTTATAGTGGTTCGGCACAACTGTCCTACTTCACTTCCAAGCACCTCTTGAGTTGTAAATTGAAATTCTGACTCTTTCCACGGTAGGAGTCAAACCGGTACATTGCTCTTCACAAGAGCAAAAACGATTCTCTCCACGGTCAGGATCACACCATTACAAAGAGTTGGAAATTTCTAAACACACTTACAAACTCTCAAATAGAGTAAATATACAAATTTGAGCTCACAAAAATTTTAATCCTCACAATAATAAACTTCTGTCACAAATAAGATGGAAAGAAAAATTGAAAACTTGGCGAGATTAGCAAATGAGAATTTTGAAGTTATGGAGGATTGAGAATAAGAATATTGTTGTATAATTTTGAAGGAGGAGTTGAGTTTAAATATAGGGAAGAAAATGGTAAAAAAATTAAGTTTAATTTTGGACCATTAGATTTTAATTATTAAAAATGAAGGATTGAGATAAATTTAAAAAAGATAATTAAAAATTATATATATAATAATGATAAAATAATATATATATATATAGGTAAAAATTTTCAAAACTTTTTTTTACTGACACATGTCAGCATTTAATGCTAACATGACCTTTTTTCTTTTTCTTTATTTTTTTCTTTTAAATTTCAAAGATACCGTTTGTAACTTTTTTTTTAACCTTTTCTTTTCTTTTCCTTTTCTATATATATATTAACAAAACAAGATTGTCATTTGTCAGGCCTACGAACTGTCCACGTTATCTTCTCTAGTATTTTCCTTTCTTGTTTCGATCGTAACTTCTCCGTTTAAGCTCCGATTTGGATGATCTAACAGTCGTTGGAATCGTTGTAACGAGCTCTACGCTGTGGACACTTTAAAATACAAAAAATGTCAATAAATAAAATTAAGTTTGTTATCATCAAAACATTAATTAATTAATT